TATTGCTCCTACCATGCATTCCTGTTCTAGTTCTTCTTATTGCTGCCATGTACATGCATTAGATGACGATAGGCCTAGCTATATACATATATATACATATATGTATATATATATATATACATGTATATATATGTATATATATATATATGTTCATATGTATATATGTATGTATGTATGTATGCATGTATGTATGTCTGCAAACATACATACACACACATACATCCATGAACAAACATACACACGTAGCTACATACATAAATACATATGTACATACATACATACATACATACTTACTTACATGCACGCATACATACATTCATACATACATACATACATACATACATACACACATGTGCGTGCATGCCTGTGTGGGGTAGAGAAAGCTTGCCAGTGTGTATACATTGACACGTTTCCAAAGTTTGCATCGTCGTGCCAACATACTGTGCGCAAATCACTGGCCATTCGATTCTATATAGATGTGAAAATCCAGCCGAAACCATTTTTCGTGGAAAGCAGTCGGCAAGGGGGTGTTTTGTTTTGGCTGCGAATTTATGCTTGGTTTTCCGGGAAGGTGGACGGTCCCTTCTGCCTTTGTTTTCGCGCGTGCGCGCGTGTGTGTGTGTGTGTGTGTGTCTGTGTGTCGTGCCCATGCTACACGGAAGCGTTCGCTCACTCCCTTGCTCGCTTGCTGTGACTTCGTCTGCGGAGCACAACAACACAAAAGTAGCAACAGCAAACACAAAAAAACATACAATGCTTGCTGCCCCAGATGCTGCCAGGTTCACCGAAAGCTCCTTTCAGAGCATTTCTAAACGCTGCTTCGCAGCCATCTCTACAAGAAGCTACGACATCAAGAAACCCTACATGATGCACCAGGGTAGTTCCAGCTCTCGACAGTCGAGTGCACCATACATGAAAAGTCCCAGGCCGGAGCTGTCCGGCATTGACAGAATTACCTCATTGTTGGGTTTAGGATCTTGGATTAACCTCATTCCGAGCATGGATTGCAGTCTCCTGCACATCCTCACTGATCTGATCCTCGCAGAGGATTTCGTCCTTGATTGCCTGCACCCGCATCTTGCGCAAGGTGGTCCTGTCATGAAATGACTCGCAATAACTTCGACCAGCGGCTTCCTTCAAGGCTGTTCGAAGGCCCTGTAACGAAACGATCATGGATCACAAAGAGGCTTGCAAAAATGTTCATAATGCCAAGGTTTGGCTGGAGATATACTATTTATACTATATACCATAATAATGCCGATGAAGCTGGCCTGCAGAATGGTCTCGAGTTGCGCAGTCAGTCCGCACAGAAAGCAAAAACCGAACGGACATGTGACGACAGCTCCCCGCAGTCCGTGGCAGCTCATGAAAGAAGAACCTGGGAGTGTCGGGGTATTAAACCGCCAAATATAGGGATAGTGAGAATAGGGTTTCGGGGTATACTGCTAAGGACTAGACGGGGATCTGATTGCTGATTGCTCCGACCCCTAAATATATTACGTGTTCTGCTGGAACGCTTTCCAAGCTTCACGCGGCGCTTGACGTCCAACCGCCATGGGCTGTTAGGGTGTATAGGGTCTAGGGGCCTGAAGCAAAAACAGGCGGAGGCCAGGGTAGGCAAGTCTAGAGCACAACCCAAAGCAGAACACGTGCCTTAGATTTACATAGAGCCCTTCTTTGCCCAAACTTGTACATGCCGCCCTAGATCTCAGAGCTGCTGCACTCGTGGCAGAACCCTTAGCATCTAAAGCCTGCACCCGAAACCTACTCTAAGACCCAAGTCCCCTTGTTCGAGTCCTTCTGGTAAGGAAGACGTCGCAAAAGGCCAATCGAACTGATGACCATATACAGCATACTCACAGTAATTCGGATTATCCCCGGACTCTTCAAGCCCGAAGCACAAACCCATAACCCAGCAGTCCCACCCTCAACCACGAATAGCTGCCGTGGAATTGTCATCCTAGCCGCGAAGTGGCACCGAAGTCGGACTCTGTGCGGCTGAAAGCCTTCAAACCGCCCAAACCTTTCAGGGTGGCATTGAGTTTGAGAGTTTTCGCCTTTTCTTTGAGTGAAGTCCGTCCATCGTTTGTGTGGTCCTCAACCTCAGCACTGTCCCTCAAAAAGACACGGGGCCCGGCCTGGCAGACTTCCATAAGTCGACTTCAGCATCAGAGGCTTGGAGAGGCTTGTAGTTGTGGTCCATCCTGTCTTGCGGCTCTGGGAGAGAACTCAGGCGTGCCAACACCACAGTCATGGGGTCTATCTCTGGACAGATGGACGCACATGTCGTCATGATTGCACCTATGAGCCTAATTTTCGATCCTCGGCATTTCAACCATACTACGATACCTCTCCCTTGGGAAGCTTAGCCCTTGGCCGCTCTGCAGCGTTGACTTGGAGCTATCGGACAGCATCGGCAGCCGTGGCTTTCTTGTGCGAGCAAGCCTGAGAATGCTTATTAGTTCAGGGCTGTAGAATGGTAGGATGGTTCTGAGAGGGGGGTTGGGGGGTGGGGTCTGCAAACAAACGGAGGTCTAAACTTCTGAAGAGTTACGCAGAGCCATTGGGGTTCAGCTTAGGCTTACGGGTGTAAGGTGAGCTGGGATAGGGTTCCTGACCTGTTGTAACACACACCTAAACCTAGTTGTAACACAATCATATACAAGTATTTACATATATGCATGTATGTATGCATGCATGTATGCATGTATGCATTTAGAATGAAATACATGTGTACATACATTTTATGTATGTCTGTATGTACGCGCATGTATGTACATATATGAAAAACCTATACCTACACCTGTACCTGTATCATCATGTATCTATGTCTGTGTGTATGTCTACATCTACCTACCTATCTTTCTTTCCATGTGTAAATTAAAATATATGTATACACATCGAAAGGTTTTAATGCATGCACGCATGCATGCATGCA